GAAAATTATCTAGAAAATTCTAAACACAGGAATAATGTCACATTTATCAATGGTGACTGGATAACTCCTATCCGCTTAATAGCTACGTGCAAGAAAGAAGAATAATACCAAACAATTACGATTCCCAAATCAACTCCATAAAATGTAATGTTCTCTCTCTGTCTCTCTCCTTTGCTATCATTATACTACCAAATACCCCCTAATTCTTGAATATTAAAGGATAAATGTCATCTTTTATGTTAGCGTTAAAGATAGAATTATTTTCTTCTTCTCAACACCCTTAAATAATCAAGGCTGTGGAACGGCCACTTGATTTCTTAGGCAAATGAATTCATATGCTCCTATTATCCATCACATCATCTCTAGATACTAAAAATGTTATTTAATTAGTAAAACTGGATCTTATATAAGTGAGGAATGGAACATACGCTACAAGTGGAAACCCCTAAAAAACAGAATACATAAAACTTAGATATCATGGGAATATATGCACAGCTCCATAACTATTTAGTTACATTATATATTGCATATATAGTAATATATACACATATATATTACTATATATGTGTGTGTATATATAACTATATATAGTTATATATATATATATAATTACAGACAAAGTTAAAGAGAAAGGTTTATCATCTATTATTTAACTGTTGAAATAATCTCATGGGCTGAAATCAAGTGGCTCATACAATCATTTCATGGTTGAAAACAGTATCAGTTCTTACTGACCTTCAGTTAGAGGAAGCCTTTAAATGTCGCTTTTTGGGTAAATATTATGCAAGTGATGTGGAACAGCTAGTAAAATGAATCACAAATTGATAACTTTTGTCTTTGAAGAAGCTTAGGGCATGGCAATCAGCCTTGCCTGTAGGCTGATTAGAGTTTAATAGCCTTAATAGTGGTGTTACATGTGTGTAGTATCTAGCATCTAAAGAACTTTGCTGGCAAGGCCCAACATAGTAGTAGACTCCACACCTGTTCACAACGAGGAACCCAATTCCTGTCTAAAAGGGCCAGCATTCACTCTATGTTTCTAATTTTGAGCACCTGCAACTAGTCCCAGTGATGACTAAGACTGGTCACTGCACACAGAATTCAGTATACCCATAATACTTAATACTTTCCAGGATTAAAGTAACTAAAAAAATTAAAGCTTGAACTGTTCATTTGTTCATGTCAGTCCTTTCTTGACCACTTTCACAGAGCATTTATTTAACATTTGTTTTTATAGAACAACTGGCAAGCAGACATGAATGCTAATGAGATAACACTAGCATTACTTATGTACTTGTGATAGCGCCCATAAGGCGCGAGGCAACTGACCAGAATCAAGAACGGGCACATCTGCCAGAGTGAGTCATAAAGCAAAAAACAGTAGCAGGTTTTTTTTTTTTTAATACATATTTATTAAAAGGTCAAGGATGAATATATAGTGTAATAAAGCATCTTACCTGTTCTATACATTCTTTGGATAATGGTGGGGAAGGAAAAGATGCAAAAATTATCACTCCAACATATAGATATGTTAATCCCACCAGGAAATAAGCAACAGAGAGGTCTCTCACCTGAGGAGAAATAAAATCTTGTTTTCGCCAGCACTGACATAACAAAAGAGGCAAAAATAAAAATGTCTTGAAGATTTCTGTTGTGTTAAACAGAAGATTTACTTGAGCGGGGACTTCAAATTTGGTCTTGGATCAGGTCAGAAAGCTGCAAGAAGATACTCCAAAGTGGAGCCAGACAACTGTTATGTATCTATCTACATACAGAAAAGACAGTAAGAAACAGCTGTCAATAGATGCAGCACGTTATTGCTGGACTCACAGACATACACAAGTTATTAAAACAAAAAAACAGTCTCTGCTTCCTTACATTCACCTATTATTACTAAGAGCACTGGGACACAGAGACAGCTCTGACAGACCGAAAGCCCATCAATGCCGTATGTTAAACTTCTTGTCAGGACTAAAATCTTGCAATTAAAGACATCAGCATACCCAAATGCAGATATAACAAAGGACACGTTTAACGAGCTGCTTTGAAACCCAAGAGGATGATCTACACATACGTGTGGTCTCCAAAACAGAAACTAATATGGCAGGCATCTGTATGAATGCTGAGATAATGGAAGACATAGCTAATACACCATTACATAAAAATACAAATAAAAAACCAAATAAAACAGAAAGGGATGGGTACAGACAGGAGTATATCTATGTCCTTTAGCTTCCTTACTGTATCTTATAATGACTCTTCTATTTAAATTTGCCTATCTACTCTATTACTGAATTTATATAAACATCCCAGATAAGTGCATTAAATGACAGTCAGAGATTTTCAGGCATGAGTGCTGAAGCTAGGGTCCTAAATCCATATTTAACTGTATTACAGAAACCTACATTTTTTCAAAATGCACCCAAGACCCTCTAAAGGCACATCATCTGACAGAATCCGTTTTCACTTGCTTTAAATTAGATAGTTTAGGTGTATTCCTTGTGCATAAAGATTGCAGTTTCTTATGCAAAATGCACAGTAACTCACAGTTGTTATTGTGCAAGGCCTGCATATAAGCATTAGAAGCAAGCGTCAAATTATCTTTGCTGTGGCAAATACTTGCAGTTATGAAGGAAAGTCATCTGAAAGGGAAGGAAATTCATGCCACTTCCTCTGGATTAGAATTGATTAACGGTAGACAGTGGGTATGCTATTACCTCTGATTACACTAGCCAGTTCACGTTCCCACAGTTTAAGAGTACCTGTTCTACTCTGTAACAAAACTAAATGCAGGGATAATTTTGATCATGTATCTTTATAGCACAGAAAACAACATGGCTTTGACCTCAGGAGCCACCGTAATACAAAGAACGCCCAGATTTTGATTTCCACAAGCAACAAGAAAGGTAGTAACGGCAACTCAACCTGAATTTATCTTTGCTCAAACATCCATCAGCTCCCTTGCAAACATCCATTTCCGCATAAGAAAGAAGCTGCTAAGACAGTTACCTTTGTACAAACGTGGGTGGGTGGGTGGGTGTGGGTGCGCGCGCCGCACCCACACACAAGCATGTTTAACAAGAACACCTTTTGACTACTATTCAGGAGACCTGAGTTCGCTCTCTAAAGACCTTAACTATAAATACTATTTAGATAGTATAATTCCAGATAAAACCCTAGGGTACATGGAGAGAGATAAAAGGATTATTTTTTAAATAACACAGCAATAATCCCATTTGTCTATTTTAAAGATGTTTATAGCCAGAGTGTGCACCACTGTGGTAGAAACTGTCTCAATAGATAGAACATGACTGCCCTTGCACCTAAGACTTTACAACATAAGAATCAAATATAAAACAGACAGTTGAAAGAAGCAAGGATACAGGTGATCAGAGTGGAAGGGAAGTAAGGACAACATGCAGTGCATATGATATGGTCACTGTTCCTAAGGGTCACAACTTGCCAAGCCCTTGTCAAGTATGCGTGAAGTAAGAGGCAGATTTTGAGGTGGACCTGGGAGGATATATAACAGCTACAGCTACTGCTGACCAGAGGCTGTTCTGGTGAGATGCACAGGGCACTGTTTAAGCACCTCTGGAGGAACAGAAAATTGGGCGACTGAGGCTGGCGGCAGCAGCAGAACAAAGGCAGAAATCAGCTCTAACAAAAGCATGAGTCTGATAAATCAGATGGCGCTAACCTGAAAAGAGCTCTGAAAGTACAAGACTTCATATCACAACTCATGGATGAGCATCCAGGCAGACGTTAGGCCTGTTGCACAGGACTGGAAGCAGCACAGTGTAGGTTCTGCTGCTTCTCTACAGGTATTTCCTGTGCAATGCTGAAAAGAACAGGCAACTTTCAAGCCTTGTTTTCCCTACTGCACGTCATGGGCATAAGAGCTTGTTTTTTTCCTCAGCAGCACGGTTAAAGTTAGTTTGTAGAGTCACTTGTTCGGTGGAGCAGGCTTTATTAGTCCATAGCAATTGTTATCATATTAGAAGTAGCAGCTTTGGATCATCTCATTTCAGGTTGGTTGCTTTTGGAAAGATAGGTGCTGCCTCTGTAATATCTCAACAGGACTCTGTCCATATTGTACAAAGGGCCTTCACGTGTTCCAGTTTCAATGCCAAGTGATAAAATCTAACAGGATGATAAAAAATTAGTTCACCAAGAAGCACAACCCTGTGCACTATTTGGGCTGGAAAGAGAAACTGACAGTAGGGTAGCATCAGGGGAAGCTCACTCTATTTGGACCAAATAAATGGTGTTTCTATTTCGCAGAAAGTAGAAAAGAACGCACAGTCCCATGCCTTCTGCAGTTACCACCTGGACAAAAACAGCCCCCTCTGCCACCCTTGCCCACTGGCTTTTCCTTGAGTAGCTTCACAAACAACTGCTAGGTGACAGCAATAGCATACATTGAGTGTCCTCCTAGTCTTTCCTCTCATTCCTGCACTGGGCTTACACAAGCATTTGGACAGCTGCTCAGGGAACCTGATCACAGAAGTAAATCACGTGAAAAAACGTATCACCTTTTCTGCCCAGGTTCATTTGCTACCCAGTCAGCTTCCAAACTAGTTCATTGTGTGGTTGCACAGACACTTCTGCTGACAAATACAACAGGACAGCAGTGGGAGAGAGGAATAAAGAGAACATTACTTAACAGTAGTGGAACGAAACACTGAACTGCAGACTAAGAACCATGCTCACGGGGCTTCTTCAGGCTGTGATGCTGATATTTGGCTTATTCTAGAGTATTTTGCTCATTGCTCCTTTTACACCTACTCCACTGTACTGAAACAGTAGCCATAGGACTCCTCCTCCAATGCATGTTCTAACTTTGAGCAGTGATACATACCTCTCTGTGACCAGAATGGAAGCTGCTGTTGTTTTGGATTTTTGACTCCATAAAAGGAATATAACTGTTTCTCTTACTTTTTTATCCCTCCCCAAAAAGTAGTTCTTATGATCACAAATTTCAGCAAGTTTTTTTTCAAACTAAAACAGTACTTTTCCAGCTTGTCAGGTCCTATATCTTTTAACAGAATTCCAATTAAAGTGACTTGTTAACATGTTTATCCATTAAAAATGGGGTTTCCATCTGACTCCCCGTGAGATACTGATATAACGAAAGCATTTTATTGATTTAAATATATAAGAAACAACTGTCTTCAAAACCATGACTTTCACAGAGATTGGGAGCATCTGTAACATATGTAAACCTCCTACCTGGTCCAGCAGCTCAATGAAATAATCACAAAGCAATTAGTTCTTTAAGAATATCAATGCTTCATTAACATCTGCAAAGCACTTTGGAGACCTAGGTGACAGGCTCCCTCCCATACAGCTACAAATAGCAAGGAAGGACGAATACTGTCTAATAGCAAGGAAGGACGAATACTGTCTAGAGATGTTAAAAGTTACTGTGACCCTGTATAAGCAAAGGAATCTCTGGCCAAATAAAGCTCCTGAAGGAACTATGCACAGCTGGCTTCTCATTACAAATCTTTCCTGCCATACTTGAAGGTGCTCTTCCTGTACAATTCAAACACTTTTCTGCAGTGAGTCTTGTTCATGGCTGGGATCCATGCTAAGGCTGATCTGGAAACCAGCTCAAATCCCAGGAAGAGCATTTGGAAAAGCTGATTCAAGTGCAGGCAGCAGTTTCCTTGTCCTCAGCACAGTAAAAGCAAGTTGGAGAATATTCCAGGTGCTGCTCTTTGGAGCTCAGATTGACTCCTCCAGTGTCAGGGGGAGGGGGAAGACCCACAGGAAGTGTCTTGAAGGTGGCATGGAGACATTAGGCCTCCTTTGCATACAGGACTGATTGCAGGAGTGATTATCCCTTTAGAATTTGAAAGCCAAAACTAACAGGAAAAAGAAATCTTGCCTCTTTTCCACATGAAAAGATTTTCTTAAGAAAACTCATTGAGAAGAAATTTACCAAGTTTTCTTTCTCCAGAGCTCCATTAACTCACTGTTTAGTTGTTAAACTACTTTCAGAAGTGCTCATAAAACACAAGAAGCTTTCTAGAGGAGAAGTCATGACTCCTTTTCAAGGAGTTATTCTCAGCTGGCCTTGGTTTATAAGAACAAGTTACCTTGGGGATTATTAAACCAAAATGTCCTCTCACTGCATTGGCACGTAATCTGCAATTCACTACTGCATCAGATGTGCCAGCTTTTCATACTATTTAAAAATCTTTGCATGTCAGTGTAGTTACCTTTCCAACTCAGATTTTAATGAAGCTGGACAAAATAGGGGAAGAAAGACACAAGATAATTAGATTAAAGATGTACTCTAAGACTCTTAACATTGTATCATGTTTACTTCATTTTATATTTTACTAGTCAAAAGAAAACTTCCTGCCCGCCTCATAAGATGGAAAGAGATTAAGAAAGAATGCAGTTTCATCTAGATAAGCAGTACATAACATTTTCAAAGAGTAAAGATCCAGTCCAAAGCCTACATATCACAGAACTCCCAATCCAGGCTTCAGCTTCGAGGAATTCCTAAATAGGGTCAGGTTTTTCCTACTGACCTTGACTTGAGTGGTGGCAGAAAATTTCTGAAGCCACTCCGAAAAAAGACGTTATCTAGATCCCAACACTAGCATTCAGAACACTTAACTAGACCTAGGCTTGTGTTCAAGATGCTCAACCATTTTTCACTCTAAAATTTGTCACTTTCTATAGAGCCTTATAACACTTACGACAGCCTTCTGCCTTTTGTGAGCAATTTGGCCGTTTACTGTCAGTCTGACCACAAATAATTTTGCATCCCTCCTCAGGGATTTCATCTGAATAAATTTGTAATGCATCTATTGCTCACTGGCAGCCAGTAAAAAGTATGTATAACTGGTTTCTTATCAGAGCACAAGAGAAATTTACATTTTCTGAAGCTATTACAGTCCCTGGATCAATTTCAAGAGAAGCAGACAGGAAAATATTACTGTCGCCTGGCAATCCAGATACAAATCAGCAAATTCTTGTGAAATTACTTACATTGTTTTCTTGATTCCTGTTATTTCGAAGAAGAGTGATGACACAATTGTGGATGAAGAAAGCAAGTGTCAGAACGCCTGTGAGCTGAGGAAACAGAATTCTAAACTCTAGGGGCAAAGAAAAAAAAGTGTTAATAACTTGCTTCTGTGAAACAAATAATGCCAAAATGCAGAGAACATACAGCATTGGAGTCTACTGCCAGAAATGCCAACTGAAATGTTGCAATGGAGCAATATCTTGTCTTTGAGCATAGCCAATCCAGATATTTAATCAGGAATTACAAAATACATGAAGACAGTGGTTGCTATAGAGCACAGTCTCCAAGAAGAGTCTCACAAGACCTCAACAATCAAAGATTACTGCGTTAATCTATGATTTTATATGAAGCTTTTCTACTTCTTGATTGTGTAATTAGAAAGCATTTTTGAGGCAGGAATCAGTCCCAGGGAGATTGTACGTGTACCAGTCCCTGACAAGGGAGACAGGGAGAAGGTATCACTTGCTCTGTGAGCATCTTTTGCTTCTTGGAATGACCAAGATCAACAAGTCAGTTATGCTACAAGTGGAAAACCAACATGTGTAGTGGTGTAAGTGAGAGATGCTGCTTCCAAACTAGAGGGCTAAGAAAGGCAACAGAACTTCTTGACTTATCATATCCCATTATTGCTTTTTTTTTTTTTGGGGGGGGGGCAGGGGGAGAAGGTCTCCATGTGAATAGCATTGCTTTGCTTCTTTTCATACTCAGAGCATTATGTCCACAAGACTGAGTTTCTGGAACTGCTGCAAATATTCTAGGAATTTACCAATGTTGTAACATCACTGAAGCACCATCTTGGTTGGTATGGCATACAGATACACCTACGCTTCAGAATGTTATACCAATTAGACATCCCTGAGCTAGCTCAGCTTCTGGAAAGCATCCAGCAATGCTGCAATACATTTATCAGACTCTCACAAACCCTCACAGACCAAACCACACAGAGCTCCACACAAACACATTTAGACCAGATTTCTCTAAACTGCAATGAAATCTGCAAGGCAAACGTAGCCCAGGTAATTAATGAGAGGGCTCCTCCAGCCTGAGAGAATATACCTTCCCTAAGGCATTATGCTGGAGTCACTGTATCTATAACACCCAACTAGTATGATGTGCTACCAGTAGAATTCAGAGAATGCAAGTGAGTCTTGGACTTGTTTTCCACTACTTTAATCTCAACAATAAAATCGAACTGACAGATGCAGAATCTCTCTCAGCACTGTATTTTCCCTGCACTGTAACAACTAGTTGCAGCTGGATGCGTACGCATTAGCTACGTGCTAACCTTGTCTCCTAGCAGTACTAGTCACGTTGCCAAAATAATCAAACTACTGGGTACTCCATTTCTTACAGTAACCTGCAGCACATATGTATTGCTATAACTCATTTTTATAAGAGGATTGCTTAATAGAGCTTTGGACTTGAACCTCCAGACACTTAAAACCAGTCAGGTCTCTGGTTTACGTGGGTTTGTTTGTGAACCATAGTTTGAGTGAACATTACAAAGCATTACAGAGCATTACAAAGAGTCTGCAGATACGAGTTCACGCAAGCATTCCAAGACTGTTTGCTGGTGCAGTTTGTGTTCAAACCCTGCTTTCAGAGAAAGGTTATATGGGATTTCTCAGAGAGAGGTGGCAGCTGTGGGTTGTATTTTACCCAACTTCCCTGTTGCATTTTTTTTTTTAAATCTTAACTTTTGTGTGCAGTACCATCAGCAGAGGCCAACTTTAGCACTTTATATTTCTTGATTTCATCAGCTAGTTGGATTCTAGTTAATGGTTTGTTGGTTTGCTACAAGAGTTGGTTTCCAATTTCTTAAGGACTCATTTTATCCCATATTACTGTAAGACTTTGGATACCAGGCACTCTTCACTTGCCAAGCTTTCACTCCTGAATCTATATACAGCAGTTCTCCCTGTCTACATAAATCCTGCAAGCAAGACCAAACATTTTGCTCTACCTACCTACTGACTTTGAGCAGCACTGACTAATACATTATTTCCACTTACAGATAGTATTAAGAATAATGCCATACCAAAATAAATTAGGAAATTAGGTCATTAACATATATGCCAATCATCCAAGTGCTTTGAAATCTGAATTGTTACACTGCAAACAGAAGTAATTTGTTAGTCCATAAAATAGTCTCTGAAAGTAAACATAGTGATGGAGGAAAACAGACGGCACAGACTGCACTGTTTCAGATCTTACCTATATCTATTTGTACGTTTGCATAGATGTTGCAGCAGCCAGGATTCTTACGGAACTATGGAAAACTTTCTTACATCCAATTCATCCTCATAGCATCTGTTTTGGTCTTGTGCAAAGGACTACTCAGCAAAAACTGCTTGGCTTTAAAGACTCAAGCCAAAGTGGAACATCATCTTTCCTCTCAGTGACATGACCAAGCTAAAGAAAACGTTTTTACCAAGACTTTCACTTGTTTCTCAGCATTCAGAACTTGAAACAGGGTTCTAAAAGCCTGGCTAAGATGAGGAAGCAATGACCTTCAGCAGCTATGGAAGAATGAATAAACAGAACTGATGATAACTATGGACTAAGAGGCGGGGAGAAGACAGACCCTGGGTTTTGAGCAGAGTCCCTGGCCAAAAATACACAGAATACACTAAGCTGTTTATTTGGCTTATTATTGCAGAGCTGAATCAACCAAATTGGAGTGGTAGAAGAAGAAAAAGTATAACTGCTGCAAGACTAACACAACTCTCATGTGAACACACTTAAGTTAAACAAATTTTGTACCATTTACTCAGTGACTACTACCTGTAGTTTCTCTATTGAGCTAAAACACCTATTGCCACAGTGTTTTACCATGGTTTCACAGATTAGAACAGAGTCTACTGCCAACTGTGGAACAGCTCTGGTGTTCCTCTTTTGATCCCCATCTTCCATAGTAAATTAAAATTCTTCCTGATGTCTTAAATCATTCTGCTTCTCTTCTTCACTTCAACATTCTTAGTCCTAACAATAGTTTGCATCCCATGTCTAAAACTAGTACAGTGCTTATCACGATTGGGAAACTAGAAGTGTCCTCGCTTCTTAAGCCACATACTGCTGGGAGGAATGACATAAAACCACAGAAGAAACCCTAAGGACGTCTGTATTTCTGAACTTTGCCTTAGACTGAAGTAAATAAGTAACTTCTAGAGAACGATAAAACTACTTTTGCTCCTAAGCACAACAGAGAGAGTGATCTAATAGTACAGCACACAGCTCCTTGAAGCTAACGGGTGGTGCAATTTTTCCTGTTGAAAAGCATGGGTGTGGGGAAACAATAGCTGGCCCTGATCTCTCTTCCTAAATCTCCTAAAACAAGAAACTGATCTCTCTAGGCATCCTGTTCATGCAGTAGCACCGTTCATAGGACTGTGACATTGCACACAGCGATTTGTAATATCTCTGGGGGGAAACGGGGAGAGGAGAAACACATACTTTAATGAAAGGAAAGACAAACATACCGGAGAGCTAACAGGCATTTAAAAGTGAAGGGCTAAGAGGAAGGACTAAAACCTGCAAGGGACTGGGAAACAAGGGAAAAACATACTCATAAGTCATGGTGAACCAGCTACTTCATTTAAGCAAGACAATGTGTAGAGCATTTAGAACACCTTTACCAGTCAGTCTATTTAAAGTTTGTCAGTTGGAACCACTGCTGAAATAGTTAAGATCTGAAAACAGGGTAGCTAGAACTTACTAGAGTATATGTGAGATGAGGCTATGGTAAGCTCCCTGCTACATCATAAAGTCTGGAGATACCTCTAATGGTTGCTCCTCCTCTTCTCCAGCATTGATACTGTCTCCTAAATAAACAACATCACTGGGAAAGGAATTACCTGTCACTTTGTCACAAGAAATCCTTTCTGAGCTTCTAGATGCAACATCAGACAGCACCTCCTCACTCTGTTTACCTCTGAGAGGTGTTAAAAGGCAGATGAGACAGACATTTATAAACGCCTTTAAGAAGTCCAAAACCCACAACATATGTGTTTCATTACTGCATTTTAACTATCTTACCTGGTACAAAAAAATCATTCTCTGTGAACCAGTTGTATTCTACGTGGATTCCGAGATGAGCAGCCTTCACAGTCACAAGAAAAACCAAGTAGACAACTGAAACTGTGCCTAAACAAGACAAGAGCCAAACAAACACCATAAGGCAATAGAAAGTATTTACGCTCTGTTTTATTCTTACTTCATCTCACTATTAATTACCAGAAGCCCAAACAGATAGGGATAGTATTCATTTTAAAAATACAGGGTAAGTCTGAATTCCTTTCTTTCAGGTCAGAAGCCAGTAAGAGAGAAAGAGCAACACACACCCCATGCAAGCTCTCCGCATGTTTAATGTCCTCCAGGTGCTGCATTAGTGATGGTAGAAGGGGTGCCCGCTAATCTCCAGCACTGGGTAGGTAGGGAGTTCTCTAGGCAGTAACAGAAGGGTTCCCACTTCAGCTGTAAGGATTTCAATCTGACACGGGACACAGTTGGTTGAGGAAGTACAGGTTTTTATGATGTGCATTCAGTCCTTAGCTTTTGAACCAAATGGCACAGTGAGATACCAATTAATGCTGACTGTAATTGCAAACTTTACACTGGGAGTCAAAAGCCTGATAACTACATTTGACGACTATGGATTTAAACCTTGTCTTGAACATAACCTAAGCATGCAGGATCTGTATTCCATTTGATTGGTCCAGAGTCACCCAGCAATACTTTGCACAGCATGAGAACTACAGGTAAGATCAGAGATGGATATAAAAAAATGCCTTGCCGTGTCTGCATGTGGGATGGACAGCATATGATCCTGCCATTTAAAAGAGATAGGGATAGAAGAAGGGCAGTAATAACTACCCTCAAACTGAAAGAAACTACAGTAATTAAGGCTACTGTGATGCAACATCCCAGGCAACAATCCTGCTAGTCACCAGAGAACAGGCTCCAAGTAAATGCTGATTCTTTACCTGCACTTATATAGGTTAGAATACAGATTCAGAGAAGACACCATTTCATTCTAGCAATATCTGCAAGATTACAAAATAAATTAATGAACTATTTCATTTGATTACACAGAGAAGAGTCAAGGAATTAAGTAGGGAAAATGTTCTGGATTTGAGGATTAGCTGGACAGCTAAAATAGCCTGCAGTTTCCTAATTATTCAGCTTTCTGTAAGTGTAAAGTTCAGGGGAAAAAACAAACAAACAAACAACCTATTAAGTTTCATTTCAGCACCTCAAAAATTGCCTTCCACTTTTCCTTGTCCTATAAGCTTTACAGTTTACCAAAACTAAGGCAACTTTGAACAGTTTTTGCATTTACATCTCCCGAATATGAAAACATGACATTTCTCATAACTTCACATTAGTCCTTAAACAAAAAATAGCTGCCCATGATAATACACTTTGTGCACGTTTTAAAGAGGTACAGTTATGGCCAGGTCTCACTTTCTTATTCCTACTGTATCAATGCCTGATATCTTCCTATATAAAAATCTTACTTTTTATATAGAAGCGCTATCATTTGGATCCAAGTTCCTGCGCTGTATTTTCGTTTGGCAGTTCCAGTAGCAGCAGATCCAAGCTCTAAGTAGGTGTCACACCAGAAGAGAGGACAAACCAGGCCCTCAATTCCCTGTCCTCTACCCCCTCTTCACTCTCCATACACCTCCATTTTTTTCAACCAATTCTGTGCTCTCCCTCTCCTTTTCCCCTCCTGTTCTTCACCATGGGCTACAACATTATGCCCTCCTACCTCTCCTTTACAACAAACTGGGACCAAGCCCAGCCATCATCCATGCACTTTGTCCACCCTACCAATCCCTGTCTTGGTTTGTATCTCAAGACAGAGAAGCAAGGACAAGACATAAACGTTTGCCCTTGTAGCACAGAGTAGGCCAGAAAACAGGGAGCTGTGGCAAAGCACAGCAGCAAGTTACAGTGATTGACTAATGTTGCTACTAATTAATCAGCTGATTGGTAGCAAAGGACTTCAGGTCAGAGGCAGTCACTCTTTGAAAGTAACCCTCTGTGTTGAAGCGTTTACCAGATGAAGGGTATGCCGGACTGCATGCGCCAACGTAGCATGCATCACATGCTGCTTTGAAGCACCTGTACCATAGTTTAGGAAAATCTGTTGTAAATACAGTGGAACTTGTTTTACAGGATTATCAAGTGAGCAAAAGAAGAAAAATTAACTCCTTATTAACATTAAGGCACAAACAAAGCAGGACAGAAAGCCTATGGATGATTTAACAAACCAGTCAACGAACCACTATGAGGCAGGATACTGGCTACTGGAAAATTGCTCACTAGAGCAGCTTTCACTGTTTGTGTATATTTTAACCACAGTGAACCTATTCTTTCAGAGTACTTGTTACCTACCTAGGACATTAAATTTTGCAAAGAAAGACGGAGACTTCAGATTTAGCAGGGGTAGAAGAACAGCAATCAGGTAAAATGGTACTGTTCGTGACTTGTCCCACCACTCCTCAAAGAGCTCAAAACCTGTATTGTTGCCAGAAGAGAATGTCACACTCCTGTTCTGTGGTGGGTTATCTCTAGCGGCACTCGGACAAATGACTGGAACAAAGGAAAACAAAAATATCCCCTGATAAATAAAGTGTTATTTGCACATAATCTTCATAGCTAGGAGCCCATAACTTCAGGGAAGTGTTTTTTTTAGCCATGCGGAGTAGGACCACTCATAAGCAATGTTTGACAACTCAGTTCCTACTTTTATTTGTTTCTTTATCAGGAGTTCAGCGCTAAAATTTCACTGCTAGGCTACATTGCCAGGGCCCTTGCACTCTAAGCTGAAAAACGCTAACGTGCTTTCGGCTGAACGAAAGCAAGAGAGAGGCTAATTGCTTTGTAGACTGAACTGTTGCATAGGATCAGCCTTAAAGGTCACATACCTATAACCAGGTGTGTGTGTTCAATGCCTACGTGCACCTGTTGGAGTCCAGTCATAGCAGTGCACCTCGACATCTGGATACATATTTAGCACCGTGATCTGCCTCTGCGCACCTGACTAAGATAATATGAACCAATGCAAGGGCATACGCCTACAGAAGAGCCTGTATCAGTGTATGTTGCCCTGGGAACACACAGGCTGAAGATGACAAGAAAGCTGCTGTAATCAATAGCAGGTCTAAAACTCATGAACTGAAACAAAATACTCTGCCATCTTGGTGCCTTGCCAGATACAAAGCAATTCAGTGCTAGACAACACAGCAGAAGCAATTTAACACAGGCACCAAAAACCAAAAATCTCTCTGGATGAAAAAGGGTTTATTTGCTTGTTGTTAATATTAACATTTGTTTCTAAGAGATGCCTACAAAATTAGGTGTTGAAATATGAACTTGTCTTATTGTTCCTTTTTTGATTCTTGGCACCCCCCCAATATTTCATAGCCTCCCTCCCACACTATTTTCATGCCTATTCTGTTACAAAGGAAAAGGTGTAGAAAATGTCCTATCAAACCTTTTAAGAGAGACCATCACATTACTTTACTTAGATTTCTTATTTGCTTTCTCTCCATTGCTTATAAGAGGATTGTTTCCCCCAAACCTTGAAAAATGCTTTTGTTCTTACTGATCTCTTCGGTAGCCCTGAATGCCTTGCCAAGAGCCATGCAAACATCCGGCAGCCCTTAATTCTATGCAGTAGCTGAATTAAATCTTCCAGTCACTGGAGGATACTGTGGAATATGGTTTTCTACTTTGTCTCTGAGTTATACCCCCTGCTGTATGTGTCTGGGACAGAACAGCAGAAGCAAGAGAGAGTATAATAGGAAGAACACAGCAGTAGCTATTGGTGCCTAGCTGGGAAGGACTGTGGGGGAAACAGGATTCAGTGCTAGCTCAAATGCAAATCAACCAGTTTTCAGATTTATTTCTCAGCTTCTTTGCCTGACTCCAAACAGCTGCTCCCCAGAAACAATGCTGCAGCTAGTGTGACACACAGCTGTCTGACTGGTTTTGAAATGTTTCCCCATTCCCATATGTACCTGGGATAGAGATAATTTACGGCTTCATAACAAAGACCTATGTGTCCGGTTACTATACAAAGGCACAAAGATCAGATGCTGACAATGTCCACGCTCCTACCTCCATTGTACATTATTCTGTCTACTTAAGAATTCTCAGCAGACCCATCTCCACGTTCAACTGCAGCGTTTTGCCTTAGACATGAAAATGTCAGTCTCTCCTCAAAAGCAATGCATCTCACTTGTGCAGCTTGACACTTGTTTCTTTTTGTGTTCAGCATTATTAAAGTGTGGTTACAGCGTTTTTTCATAAGAACATTGTAGCGCTATGAGGAGCACAGATGCTCCAGCCAAGATTTTTAAAAGCAAACAGATCAGCCGTGCCTCAATTTCGGGGTGTCAAAGTTAAAATTCCTTAGAGGAATTCCTCATTGTACAACTACTATTATAGGTCTAACGTTCGTGATTTCATGGAGTATCTAGTTGGGTACACAAATGTGTAATTTACTTTTTAAGCCGTGCCCCCAATTTTTTTTTTGGTTTAATTATTAGGCTTGCCAAGTATGTGGTTATTTATGGAAATACAAATCCTAGATAAAAAAAACTATAGTTTTTAACAATAGGTAGCTAGACCTTAACATATATTTTATAACTGAAATGTAGATAAAAACTAGGCATGAAACCATGCTGATTTGCCATTAAGCCCCCCCCCAACAAACAGGGAACACAATACTAGTAAGTTATTCTTACCTTTGCTACTTTCATTAGTGCCAGGAACAATTTCTGTTACATTAATATCATGAACAAAGTCTGAAAAGAAGAAGAAAATTTTACTATGGATGCCCTACAGCTGCTATTAGACTGCTATCTGCTGCCTTAAGAAAAATCAGTTAAGGAAACATTTTGGAATACGACAGACACATAATACAGCACCTTGCCCCTCCCTGCCCCAAGTAGGTATTTTTGAATTTTCATCTTAAAAACCCAGAACATTTAACTAGGAGTCTGAAAGAATCTGAAGCTACCTTTAAAGCTACTGCTTACTTGTGTCCGTTTTCATGTTGGAGCTTCTTTTGACAACACTTTGTAAGACAGCTATAACAAAGCATTAGTAGGAGCATCTTTCATGACAACATCTGCAACGTTCTCCTGTACATGCAGGCAGAGCCTCCGTTCAGACATTAATTATGTTCTTACTTTTAAAATTGAGTCTCTATCAATTATTTTTGAACATTGACGTCATTTTTTGAGATTGATCACTTGCCAGTACCATAGTTTCCCAGATGGTGACTTTTCCTGAATGCTGTACTATAATGAGCATAATCACACACACACACACACACACACAGAGCAAAGCATTTTCATGTGCTACCTCTAGCACACAGTGTTTTAAACTAGTTCTCCCCTTCTGCACTTTCTTCTCAGCAGCCCTGTCCATTCATAAGTTCCCACCCTTCCACTCCCAGCTGCTCATTCCTGTTCCCCAGTATACCTTTGCTTGTCCCAACCAACCTGTCTGCAGGGTTGCAGAGAACAGATCCATCTTGAAAAGAGCCTCTTTTAGGAAAGAAAAAAGGTTTATGCAATCATACCCTTAGTTCATACAGTATTCTATAGAGAAAACTTCTCCTACTGATTTTTCTAATCTTGTTTTAGAAGAGGCAGCTGGAATGTTACCCATGTTGTATTGTAACTTAGGAAATCTCTGGAAAAAGGTATATGTCTCACTACCTACAGTCATCTCTAGTACTACTTTGTTTCAAGTATGCTCCTGTGATACTTCACTGCTCTGCCACAGTAGGTATTTTTGAGTTTCTGTAACTTTGCCAATTCCAGACTTCTGGATAGCAGTTTCCTTCTTTGCAGTCTGAAGTTTAAAGCCTCCTTTTAGATTTGTTTTTCTGGAGCCTCAATCAACTGATTCTTACTCTTTCTATGGCCCAGATAATTTTTTCTACTTGTGTACTAAAGACACTAACAAAAGCTGGCAGTGACAGTACGCTGGGAAGATGCACAGGAAGCACCACTCTCTTGGGCAGCACATTAGGTATTACACAACAGAGATTCCATTCCAGGCGCCCGAATCCTTCAGGGGATTACTGCTGTGGAAAATTAGATAGACTCACTGAATGGATCTTAAGAGCAAAGGACTACACACTTAGAAACGTGCTCCTAATGCTCTCTCAAAATTCTGGCCTACAACCTCCAAAATATACACGCACACACATACACAATAAAACAAGAAACAGAACAAACACATTGGACACTATGTTAAAAAAGAAGAGATGATACTGTACTTTGCTTAGAGTCTTTGCATTCTGTAAATTCTACTATCTCCTAGAACATCCTCCCTCAGGAAATTGATTTGTTCCTACCTGAACTGTGTGTATAAATTAAAAAAAAAAACAAAACACAAAAAACCCCATTCATCTGAGTTTATTAGAATTAAATACAGTAGTCTGTTTATGATAACCTAGAAGCACATGGCTGGAAGATGCCAATGAGTCAAACCCACATCCTATTATCCATTTTATAACTTAATTATTAAATAGTCACAATGAAAGTTAGGACAAGAATCCAACCACTGAAGTTACCACAGAGCAAATAACTTGAACAAGAACCCCTCTAAAATACAGTTAGGTGATAAAACATCATAACGTCATAGAAAAGTAGAATCTTTTTCCAGTAAAGGAACTGTTTTGATCATTCTGAAATTTACTTATTAAAATCATAGAGTAATTCGGCTTAGAATAATACAGGATTAACATTATAAAACAAAAAACCCTAAGATGAAATGGCCTTGGAAATGCATGAATTAGAACAGTTGTAAAATACGCCAGCCAATAAAGTAATGTATGTCCTTCAGGGATGGTGGGAACCCTCCCTGTGCTGTTATTTGATTCAAAAATCAAAAGAGATTTGTTAATTACTGTGAAAACAGAAACTCTTAAATCTTAGTTGTGCTATTTAACACTGTGAGTCAGATTTTCAAAGCACTCAATTCCATCATTTAGTCCCACAACTCTACATACCTCATTGATTGTATCCACAATAGCCTGTGTGCCTGTGCACGTACAAGGGTACTAGGGTGCAACTACCTGATAGGTTCTCTTTTGTAGCAACACCAGACTAAGTTGTTCTTTCACTGTGTTACAGTTCGTCACTCCTTCAGGGATGCTTACAGAAACCGTTTGTATGGCAGCAGTGTAACTGTGCTTGCAGAAATCTGGGTTAAAATGGAATTTTTTTTTTTTTGGTAGAGTTTTTTTTTTTTTTGTAACCCAGATCTTCTCAGCAGCCTGGTTTGCCATGTGGCTGTTCAAAAAGTTATTACACCACTGCAAACAAGGGAGGGAGTGAAAATAGGAAGTGTGAACAAATAACTAGGCTTGGGTTAGGATTTTTTTTTTAAGCCCATCAAAGAAAATACATTGTTAAAACTACACTAAGAAGCTTGATTACTGACATGCAAGTCAGATGATCGGTACTTAAAGTGTCCCTCATTAGAGCTACACTTTAAAGGGCAGATTGAGAAACTGGCTTTGAAAATATGCATCAGTGTGTGCCCATAACTCACACACAGTTAGCTATTCTGACTTGACTTTTCACACAAAGTAATAGAAATTTAAGGTTAATAAGTCGGAAAATTCTATGTCAGTGTAAAGCAGAGTCTTGATCTTTACACAAGATAGCTGTAAACCTTAACCAAACAGTAATACTTACTGTATATAAACTTTCCTGTGTTGAACAGAAAGTTAGACATAAGCACCCAGTAAACTACCATGGCTCCAACAAGTGACACCATAGAAAACAAGAGGCTTGACCACTGACCAAAGGATCCAAAATAATACTTGCAAACATCTGGGAATTCCCAGTCTGAGGTATCTATTAAAGCTGAAGAAAATATAAAAAAGAAGATATAAAAAATGTAAGCATATCTAAACAAAATTACATTAAAGATTTAGATATTAGGACTCTTCATAACAGGATTTTTTTTGTGTGTGAGAATATTCTGACACAAATTCACAGTGCTTATTCTGACACAAATTCACAGTGCTTCCTCACGCTAAGAAAATGCCCTAACTTGAAAGGATAACACTCGTCAGGAAACACTATTCTGTTCCAAACTGGCTATTGCATTAATGTCGGGTGCTTGACTGAAGAAGCCTGAAAAAGTAGAGACCTTTTTTGTAGCCATACTAACATTCTGAGTACTTTCAGAAGCACTGGAATTAGGCATGGTTGCAAATCTGCACTTAAAGCCTCCAGGAGAAGTTATGGGAGAGTAGGCCAGACCATGAACTAGTCTTCAACAACACCCTAATATGAGTTGTCACAAGCTGGAGCAGTGGCTCTTAATTGCCTTTATTTGAGTAAGTCAGAGCATAGTTTATGCATAAAAGCACCACCTACAAGGGCTGCAAAATGGGTTTTAAACAATGAAAGTACATTCGACGTAGAACTACTGGCAGCAAGGCAACTGTCCATAAATTGCACCCAACACCAAATGCACAGTACACAAATGCATTCAGCTGTACACATTTTAGAGACAGCAGTATTGCAGCTTTCAGGCAGCTAAATAATGAGCATCTTGTTCCTTTTTACACAGAAGAAGACTTGGATGTTTTCTTCTTTGTTACACACACTTTAGGGTAGTGAAGATCGTAGACGTGGATGCAGCTACAGTGCACACTGCCCTACTATAGAATGTGCTCAGAAATACACAGAGAACTGGACAGTGCTTAGATCCAGACTCCAAAAGGAGGGACGTACAAAGGAATAGCTTTTATTTGTAGGGCAAGTGTAAGTAGAAAGACAGACAAACTAAGAATCTATTAGATCCCTGGATTTCTCACTTAGTGGCAATGTTTGCATTATGAAGCTTTTCATTTCTTACGTATCATTTTCCGTGATTTCACAACTCTGTAACAGCAATAAAGTGTCAAAATGCCCATCAGTAAGATGAGAATGATTCCAGAAGTAAAGCCTGCCTGTAAAGAGGGAGAAATATGGTTTACTGCATCCATCAATAATACTATAGACCAAGCGAACAAGAGCCAAGCCATGTTGTCAGAAAATATTTTCACAAATATAATTTTTTCCTAGTTTTACCTGTTTTATTCCCCATGGAATACTTAATATAGATGTACCCATCATTGTATTCCATATCATAAATCTAGGAGGAAAGGAAAACAGCCAGTGAATGACTTAAAAAGTACTCTTATTTCTAAATTAAGCATACAATACAGAACTTTCAAAATAATGCATTTTCTGGCAACTATATGGGAAGATGCTTAACATACATTGTCACTATACTGGAGTTTTTACCATAGCCATCTGTGCAATTGTCAATTTTAAAAGCAGTTCCTAATGGACTGTACACATAGATTTCATCAGGAGCTGGAAGTACATGATCAGGAGCAATCTAATGGATAAAAAAGAACAAGAAGAATTATTAGTAACACCAGAATAACTATTGTCCCAACTACAGCAAGCCAACTGTTGCAAAACACAAAATCTTCCCATGAAAACTGTATTTTTAAAGAAAAGATGTTGGAGTGCATTACTTTTCACCCCATAAAAAACAGTTGCCAGGATGCTAAGCTAGGAAGCAGAAAATTAAATTTTCTTCTACAGAGTATCTGTAATGTACTATGCATGGATACAGCAAGTTCAATCATCACTGGATACAGCAAGTTCAATCATCACAACTGACCATTGCTCAAATCCACTCACAGACAACAGGAGTGAATGCACACGTCTGGACAGCCTGGACCACTGCTGCGAAATTCAAATTGTTTGTATCTTTTCTTTGGACAGTGAAGATATTGCAAAAGACGACCATCATGACTTTCGGTAACACAGAACCTCATCAAGGCCCTCAGCGGCTAGGTATTTACTTAAAAGCAAGCTGCAGACTGATTCTCCTCCTACCTTTATTTGTGCTTCTTTTATACGCCTAAGATGTGGAAGACCCAACATGCCAGAAACCACTTAGTTAATCTAGCCCTGTCTTTGCCTTACCAATGCCCTGTCTGCAGGAGAGGTGAGCCTGCTGTAGTAATGAATTCGTTTATTCATTGCAGAGGCTTCATCAGTGACTCTTTGCATGTCACCATTCACGCTAACTATGTTTGTAGGCTCTACATGGAACGGTCTAAAGGAGAAAAAAAAAAAAGAAAAAGGAAAGCATTAAAAACCTGTAAACACTAGAGCTAACATATAATTCACGGAACAGTTTAGCCTCACTCAGGATGACTCTGTCATTCACTAATACAAAGCAAATGCAAAAATATCACTGCCATGAGGGAAAGTGCTATCCACGAATCAACCCTGTGTTTACATCATCCAAATTAAAATGGCTTCTTGCCCAGATTCTGCAGGGCAGCTTAGCATCAAAATTCAAACCTAATACCCAGTCTATTAGTTCTCAGCCATGAATCATACCAAAACTACATGTTAATAAGCCTGGCCAAGCTTATTAGCGTTTATAACTGGTGTTGCCAGAGCTAGTGATGATGAATAGGGATAGAAACAGGAGACGTGAGAACGCAGAAGCAGAAAGAACACAGAGGACGAGAAGAATGAGAAGTGGCAATGAGGACCCACTATAGACAGGTTGGGAATTACTATTGTAGCCAAAAGCACTGTATCAAACTGTGTTTACTGGGGAAAGAACCAAGCCCAAATAAGTCAATGTGATCATGCTATCTTTATGCCAACGTAAACAAGAGAAGAATTTGGCACGGAACATTAAACAACAGACGTCCTGTTTTAGTCCTCATGATTTCCTCAAAATTTTACTTCAAACTTAGTTAGATTAACCACAAAGAACACAGGTCAGAGAATCTCTCTCATTCAGAGATGTACAGAATGCAGGTGGTCTCTCTCCACTCTTCTCTGCTTAAAAGTCAGACTGCAGGCAGGGTCATAACCACTACAGAAGAATGCAGCTACATAACCCATGTTTTCTTTGTGTACTTGTATGTATGGAGCAAGCAGAGGGAAAGTTGCAATTTTTGTGCATTGCTCCTGAAGTTACAGCACAACATAAATCTAGATCCATGCAAGAGGCACTACCAGATATATGTAAGCCCAATTAAGATATTGCAACTAATATATATAATTTTTAAAACCACAAGCATAATTTATTTGTGTAGAGGCATACTACACTGACACATTCATTCCAGCCACTGATAGACTAATTTCCCAAACAACAGAAGGGATACTGATGACCCATAAAGCCTTGCTGCACTTATTTTTACCTTTCACCAGTGCTTTTAATTCCTAAAGCAATCCCAAAAGTATTCTGACCTTCTTATTCAAGGCAGATGTTTAAATCACTTAGAAACAAGAACACCACCCAAACTAGAACCCACAAAACTATATTGCAACCAGAGTTTCAGGCCACTAACAGCAGAAACTAAGTCGGCAACGAATCCATGACATTTCTCCTGTATTAAGTGCAAAGCCTCTTTGAACTTACTGTTTTCCAATCCCATTTCTGGCTCACACTACAAAGGAAGTTGGCCAACCCCTCCTGCCACAGCTCTCAATAACATGACAATCTCTCCTTAGATCTGGAATACCATTTTCTCGAGGCAGAGGTCCCATTCTCTTTCCCAGTGAATCATTAAAAGGTGGTGCCAAAGTACAAATGCTTATCTGGAAGTAAACAAAGGAATGCAGCTCTGAAGCGCATTGTTGTATCTTTTGAAAAGATGAAGCTACATCCTCAAGCCTTTAACATCAGGGCCTTATTTCTGTGTGCTTACCAGGAGAAGGGCAGGTGTGAATACTTGCAGAACTAATTTAAACTGACGAAAGCAAAAAATACTTTCTTTCTCATAAATTAGAGAAAAACAAGTTGCTTCTGCACAAATCACAGTAATTCATTCTTTCCTTCATGTTAGACTTCATTAATTCTTACAGCTTTCTTCATTATGAAAAAAGCTTAGATTTGCTAAGTCATTTCCCATACGCTGAGAAGAAAGTGAGTTTGCTTTGAATTTTAAAAAATATTCCTGATTGATACTTTTTTCGTACGTCAATGAAACAAAGGGGGAAATGCTGATTTTGTGTGTGGACCTCCGGGGTGCTCCTAGAAATAATTAGGAGAGATACCACAACTAAAGAGGAATAAGTGCTAAAACTATTGCTTAAAATTTAATTCTGAAGCACACAGGCTAATTCCATGTGTAGGTAACAAGCAGAAACACTCATGGATTGTCAACTCTAAGGAGCTTCACTTGTTTTAGCTCAAAACTTCTTAGGCTGTTCCAACCATACTGGACAGTGCTGAAAAATGTTTCATTAAGAGAGCTGTAAAATCAAGATCGAAGTTACGTAAAGAGAAACTAATGTATTTGGCCCCCATGAGTGAGCTTTCTGCCGCTTTCTTTTTGGATCACTGGCACACAATATACTGAGAATATGAAAAGTATTTGCTATTTATACATCATGAGGACTACCTCTCTCTCCATCTCAAGTTAGTATTATTGGTACATCCCCATAAGCTTCCATTGCTGGTGGGAAGGTTACACTGAAACTGTGTACATTTTTTGAAATGTTTATGTTTTGCTTCCAAAAAAGGAGATCTGTGGCAAAGACTTCCTTTGGAATGGCATTCAAGAACTGTTGACATGGCTGTTAAAACTCCTAGGTGGGGAGAGAGCGGAAGATTAGTCTTTAAAGCAACTCAAGTCAAAGCCATGGATGGCCTTAAAGATAAAGAACTGAAAACGTGAATTTGGCATCTTATTTCATGGGGAAAGCAGTGCTGTTAGTCCAAGACCAAAGAAATATGCTCTTCTGGATAAAAAAATGTGACGTATAGCAAAAAATACAAATATCTATCTGTACGTAGGACAGTTTTAGAGAAAAAGATTTTATTTTGTTCAGCAACATCAACACACATCTGGACTGAACAAGTAATTTATGGTCCACTACAAAACATAGAGGTATGATTCAGAATCTAGGTCTGTGAGTGAGGGGGAAAAAGAAAAAGAAAAAAAGAAAGAGCCCCAAGGAAAAGCTATATATCTGTTTATCTGCTGCTGTTGCTTCCTCCCGAAGAACACACATGTTTAATGCCAATAACGTTTGGGCTGCTTTCCCCCTCTCACTCCCTTATTTCCCCCTCTCACTCCCATCACTCACCTGTTGAGAATGATAATGATCTAAAGGAATAATTAGAGAGGCAGGGTAGGAAATATATATTTTTTTTCTTCAGAGTACCACTGCATCTACAATCCTACCGAACAAGTGACTATGCTCAAATAGATCTTCCCCTCCTCAGGTTTGTGATTGTTAGAGATGTTTCTGAAAACATCAGCCTGACTCGGAAGTTATGTGGACAGACCGATGTGGGCAATCTTCCTCCCTGATCTCCACTAGCAGAAGGTAGCACCCTGACTAGGCTCGAGGCCCTTTCAGGGCTCCCTAGTTTCACCCAGATCAAAGACTGGTTGTAGGGCATACACCTATCTGAATAGCTCTCAAAGGATTATCTTGAGGTGCCCAAAGCAGGTAAGCTACAATTTGGTCTGCATTTTGGGAAGCAGTCTCTAGAGAGCTTAAGTCTAGCAGCCAAGCACTCTGTCCATGGAAGGACCAGCAGTTCCAGCAGATCCACAGGAAACTGTCTTTTTTTAGACTGGCAACGACGCTACATACTCACCAGGCAAGAGGAATATGAAGAGGATGGGTAAAAACATAATCTAGAGGAAAGGGAGAGTTTATATTACCAGAGGGTGTGACTACTAATGCAAAACAGTGCAGACAATGCCCCTGCATCGAGATAGAATACAGTGTCCAATTAATTCAGTAAACCTGCACTAAGAAACACCATTTATACTTCAACAGCTAACCCACATAACAATGCTTTTTACGAGGGCAAACACACCACTAAAACACTGTTGTTTTCCACAGCACAATGGGTACGGACAAGATGCGGGAGATCCAGACCTCCTATTTGTCATACCCTGCATGTGCTCCGTCGGCCACCGTTCCCCACAAGCCTGCAACAACATTCATCGGCTAGCTATTGCTCTCTCACACAAAGGAATACAGTAAATGAGAATTCTAGCGCTGGCCCAGGAAAAGGAAGGAGAGGGCATCTGTCCGGGCTATGTAAGTGCACCATCTGGCTATGATTTTTGCAAGCAAGTAAAATGAAAAAAGATGCTCGTGATTAAAGGCGCTTCCAAATATTGTATCCTGTAAAATTCAAGCACTCAGTTTGGAGGATTGGAGGAAGAACACAACAGCAAAATTTGTTTGGCAAACTACATACAATCTTGCAACTGCTAGCAACCCTAAGGATCTGGATGGCACTACTGTGGTTTCATAGAGAACTTCCAAAGGTTAAAATTTATTAATCAGTTTCACAGGTCTATTATATCAACCTACTATATAATCTCAAAGTAAAACTAATGTCAGTATAATCTCAAAATAAATTATAATCTATATTCTTCTGCATAAAGGTCACATCAATAAAATGAAAGGGAAAATAAAATGCCTATTTAAAATTAAAAACTATGTTGCAATTTATATGACTTGGCATATTCAAAATACCAGAATTTTCTTGGCTTTATTGTCATGTATTATTTTTTGAACATTTACTGAAATGCACTATATCTCGTAAAACAGTGGAGGACTATGGCAAATATGTATTTCAATAAGCTGTAAAATTAAATTATTTTATTTTCCCAGGACCTTTGTTAAATTATTTTCAAATAGAAAACTACTGGTTTTGGACAGCTATTCAAAAGTACTATTGGCAGTACTGATCCTTTACAACATAAGAGAAATTTTCATTTTAGTGTGTTGTTTTAGGTCTATACGATGGTATTATACACTTCAAATTATATAAACATTTCATATTCAAATAAATACAAATAAACTCTTTACAGGCTACTTAAGACAATTTCTCTCCTGTCCTCCAAAAAGGACATGAAAATCAACTTTAGCTTATTACACAGATTTCTTTGATATCCCATATCCCTGAAAAGTAACTAATTGACATGAAAGGATTGTTTAAGTAATACATAGAAATAAAGCTAGCAAATTCCTCTCTCTTTCTTCTTTTAAACAGTTACCAAACTTGTGTTACAGGACTACCGCATAGGACACAGAAGAAACAGATCAAGTGGAATTGATTCATTACCACTGCAATTAAAGTAAGTACCATAACATGAAAAAGGTTGCTATTTATTTCATTATCAGGAACTACCTGCCTGGATAGAGGAACACCACAGATGTGAGAGAGCTTATCTTGAGGAAACCAGTTCCAAAAAATTCCATGACTTGCACTTGCTTTTTCACTTTTTAAGCTGTCTAAATTTACATAAGCATCATTTACATAAGCTTACAGTGTATCCTATGTCTTTACTTTCTCGGCTACACATTTTATTTATACCCTTTCCACAGCCGGAATGCCATTATTGTTATATATTCCATGACCATGCAAGTATCTTAAAATACTTGATGGTAGCTAGAACCAAAATAACCTTTCGGAACACAACGCTAAGTCATCTCTGTTGCTCACAGGACACACGTTCTGGTTTAACAAATAAGGAATCACCAGCTTGATCATACCTCATTTTCAGCACTATTCTTTCTCCCTTCTGTGCCAAAGGCAAAGCATTCCTTGCTGTTCTACGTTTCTCCTATAGCAAGTAAGAAGGTTCTTAATTGCTCAGGCCTAAATAGGAATTAGGAGCATGTAAAAATGTTGTCAATACACAAAAATGAAAAGACAAGCTATGCAATAAAAATACCACATGGGTTTGGAAAGGTAAACACAATGTCCTTAAGAGGTCAGATAGTTGAGGCACACTGAATGGAGACACTGTAGCTTTTGCACAGGTCGGTCCCTACCCCTGTCAGCTTTTTCTAATTTCTTAAGAGAACTTTGAAATTAAAAGGGAACCACTTTTGAATGAAAAAGGCTTTCCTGACTGCTATCTACAGACATGTGTATCTTTAATTTCACCTGCTGATCTCTCCTACATTGTGTAAGGACAATATGGGACTTCAAGAAGAATGGAAAAAAAAGGAAGAAGGCTTGTTCTCCCTTTAGCAGGGGGCATTGTCAAGTTTCTTCACATGCAAAACAACCAATACAAAACGCTTTTCGTTTCTTTAGAGGTTCCAGTATTCCTGAAAACAACTACAGTATCTGTTGACACTAGCATTTAAAGAGCAGCAAGAAACAAAAAAAAGAAACTCCCTCTCTTGAATACAATCAGCATCAATAAACCACTGCAGCAATGACGTTTGTTCTAGCTTTAAAAAATGCTACAAAACACTGTGAGTAAGTGGGGTCCTTAAAGGCATTGTGAAGAACGATAACATCCACTTTAAGAGGATTAGAAGAGGCTTTATATATTCCCCAAATTTGCAGAAGAATACTAGACAAAATAATTTACAACTCTGAAATACAATTAGCTCATTGTTCTTATATAAACACTGAAAAGCACGCCTTTCTGAAATCCCAACCCCTCCAAACTGTTAAGAAAACCAAATAACCGTGGAAGTGCCGCCAAATCTAAAAACTCAAACAAAAGAAAGAAACAGCACCAAGAAAGACAAAGACTGATTTTAAGCAAGCCACACAAAACCCTTTAATAGCTATCTCAAAGCAAAACAAGGATGAAAAGGACCACCCACCTATGGCTGACCACTGCTTCTGAACAGCAAGTTAAAAAAACGGGCAAACTAAGCAGAGCACTTCACTTACTATTGCACTTACACTATTCAGTACTTTTATACAAGGTGTCTCTCCCTCCAGCTACAACTCCCTATAGCTCTAGCGAACAAGCCCTGCCAGCTGTGCTCCCAAGACTACAAGGCCCCCACAGTACTTCTGAGACCACACCTGAGGCAAACCCTGATGGTCTGTTCTCCATTCCTACTTTTAAAGATTATGCCACCTCCTCCTAATATAGAGGGATGGCGTTTAGCCTTGTTTGGCACCACCCTATGATTTCCAGGCCTTCCTGATATCCCACGCCTCATGTCCTTCATCTTTGTGCCTCTGTATGTTTGGAAAAGAACAAACTAGGCAGTACAAAACAGGAGAGAGGACTGAAGGAAGGAACAATAAAGACAAAGTGGATGGACCTGCAAGGCAGGAAGGTGTGGTGGGAACTCAATCAGAGTACACACTTCTGCTTCTGGGGGAGGGAACCAAATGCCAGGCGAAACATGAAGTCCTCCAACTACTACCTTTTAGGAAACTGAGTCTCCAAACTTTAGAAATCACACACAACCCCCCTCCCCCCAAAAACAAAACCCATAGTGAGGAAACAATAGCTAACCTCACTTTTGAAAAGAGGATCTTGGCATTTCCATATCATAAAGGTGTGAACTTCTCTCACTGCTCCTGCATTACAGTAATACTTGACACCCATCTTTCAAAAACACAACACATGCCTCCTCTGACACAAGTAGTTCCCAAAAGCCATACAAATTAGCAAGCCTATTATGCCAGTTAGGCCATTGAGGGGTTCAGACATTCATCAGGAACAAGTTAAAACAAGAATTCCTTTTGTGCACTTCCATTTCTCATCTCAGAGTACTCTACTATTTTCTGTTCTTCGCATTCACAAATCCATACATGTCCAAAACCATATTCCATTTTCTTCCCTGGGCCAACTCAAACCCTTCTTCTCCCTCCATCCTCTTTCCTTTGCTCTCAGAGAGGTGACAAATTGTTTAGCCCCTGCTCAACCTGGAAGAAGCCTCTCACAACTTTCCAAAGCTGCAGACTGAGATAGCAGGAAATCACTATCACCACAAACTCTCCCTTCTGCTGAAGTGGCTGTCCACAAAAGGGTTTGGGATACAACAGTGCCATCTGCAGCTCCCTTAGGAAAACTGCACCACTGAAACATGATGCTGGATGAAAAGGGAAAACAAGGCATAAATAAGGTCCAAGAGGTTGCAAGGGTCTCTTCCTTTTTCTAACAATGCAGAGCTGGTGGCTTCAGCTAACAAGAATATAGCAGTTCCCTCTTCGATCTCAGTTTTGGTTCCTGGACCAGCAACAGCTTACAGAAATCCTAACTACAATAATAGAGGAAGTCCCACTCAGAGCTCCTTTGGGGAATAGAGATGTTAAATTCTAAGAAAATGTGTAGTATTACAGATTGGCTAGATACAAATTATTTTTGTAGGCATGGCAAAAAAGCAGGCCTGCCAGATTCTTCAGGCTTGCTCCAACTCAAAGAATACTATAGTTTTTTTCTAAGGCAATAAAGGTCACTGTTTTCTTAGTATTAGCAAATAACATATTTTTCCCACTATCACCTGCAGAATACACACAGAGCCATTTACACATACTGACAGTCATTTATCTAGACAGTCTGGCAAGCTTTCTTGCACAGTCAACATTTCAGTTTGTTGTGCTAAACTAAAAAATATCATGCTTCAGTATGCACCCATTATATTTATTAAGTCTTTGAAAAGCGTTTTGAAAGTCACATATTGAATTCTCATGAGAGCACTGTCCCTGAAGTGATATCAGCAAAAAAGTCTCATCCTTAAAAACAAAAAACAATATGCACATCTGTTCTTCTGGTGCTTACATTAACATCTTATAAACACAAAGTAGGAACTCTTTGTATCCAGACACTGGTATCTACACGTTTGTCTTCTATCTACCTTTACAGGGTTCTGTCTCTAAAGGCAAAGGTTAAACAACTCATTACTATACAACCATTCTGTATGCTTAGCCTTCCTCATACCTTTTGCATTTAAGATCTTCTGGATTAAATTGTATATTCATGATTCCATAATTGCTTTCATCACCTCCCACAGGAATCAAAAGAGGTTTGGTATCCTCTTCCATATTTGAAGAACGTCCTTCTTTCTTTTAGATTCTGACAGTTATTTTGATCTAAAGAAAGGAAATGAAATAATTACAGTTAAGTAAAACTGTATACCTGCTATGAATTTAACATCGGCAGAATCCCATCACTGCACAAGCTCCTGGGGTGAAAGCACCCACAAAAATCACTTCAACCTGCCACTTGAAAATTCTTATTTCATAATGCAAACATCACAGGTCAGGTACAGTAGTGACAATATCTTTATGACATTCCACCCATTTAAATAAAGTGGTTAGTGTAGCACTGTGTTCTCAATTTCTTTTACTACTGCAACAGTCAATACAAGTTTAAGGAACATGATGGAAGCTGTAGTTTATATTGGGACTTGACAAGTTTGCAACGAGTAAGGCTCAGAATTTGAATTTCCTCAGAGCTATGACAGCTGAGAATCAAATCCATCACGTGCAAATTAATGTTAAGTATATTCATATGCAGGTCCTATCTTAGGGGTTTCACAGCATGGGACTCCTTTCCAATCCTGACTGCCTCAGTGTAAGACCATGGATTTTTAAAGGAGGCATTTCCAATTTGTAATAGTACAGCTGAGAGCAGTTCACCACACTTTATTAAAGACTGCTGATTCATTAAATTAATCCAAACTTTGCAAAAAATACATATGGAGTTTTCTGGTATACTTCCCAGAATAAAGATAAGATTATACCAGTCTACCATGCTCAGACTCACTGAATTGAAGGCAATGAGCTGTTTAACAATGCACTGATAATAATGTATTATATGCATTCAGAGTGCTCCTGACAAAACAATAGGGAGCAGCTGGCTTCTACACTGACAGAATTCTATTTACATAAACTGGACTGCAGTCACATGACTCACTGGGGTCTCGCACGCAGCTGAACAAACATAATGGCTTTAACAGCTCTCATCCTGGCTACCTCCTGAAGAACCCCCTGAGCCAGGACTCCTTCACCTGAAAATGGTAGAAAGGTATCTGCTTTTTACTAGGAGAGTTTCCTGATGCTTTAGTAAACTACACAGCCTGATGGAGGAGTCAATGAGAAACAGAGCTGGCACAAGATAAGTAGAGGATGTCAGAAGCCTGGGTGGGGATGGAGGAAGACAGAAAGAATGAGGTATGTATCAGCCTTCTGCATCCTCATGGAAATACACCCCAAAGGCACAATCCCACAGATTACATCATCCTAAGTACTCTATCCTCCTGGCAGTTTCTAGCTACGTGTTCCCACTTCTCTTGCATTAATTCATCCTGCTAATGCCTCTGGCAAAAAACTAATAATCTGAAGGGGGGAAAAAAAAAGGGGGGGGAGGAAAAGAGAAGGGGAGGAAAGCAGCTTCCACTGAGCTGACTCTCTGGGTTCCAACAATTACCAGTGGAAAAGGAGAAATGAGAACACACTGAAGGAGCAAGGTGGGATCTGGAGAAGTACTCAGATTGGCTCAAGCCACTGTGGAACTGCGTTTTACAGTATAGGTCCACAAAGTATATCGAGGCTCCTCTCACCTAACTTAACTTACTGTTTCTCTTCTGCTATTCTAGACCTTCTTTAAACCATCATTTCAGAGTCTGTACTCTAAAGCCCTTCCCTTCAACATCGTTGTTCTTGGTTCTTTGGCCTCCAATTCATAGTCTTACGTTTTCTCTTCTCAGCTCCTCTCAGCTTTCACATTCTTGCTTCTCATTTTCTGTCTTCAGTCTCTCCTATACACTGCCTGTCTTTCATAAGCACTATTTACAAAGGGATTCCTTAATTCACAGAAATATTTATTTCTTTTTATGTTACACTCCATTCCTTCCCAAACCACATTTATAGCTCTCCTCTTGTTCGTTCCTTTACTAGTGAATTCCCTTATTTTTCTGTACTTCTAGGTTGCATCCTTTCTCCTTACTACTGATTGTACAGCAGCTTCAATTCCTTTCATACACTGCACCCCCTCACTGTTAAATTCACCTTAGTGCACATGAACTTCCTCTATCAGCTAACTACCTGAAAGAAAACCATGGGCTCCAGAGATTTTGCCCACTGTTACAACTATCTACCTACTCCCCTGCAATTCTCATTCTAAAACACTTTTACTTACCTCTCACTGAACCTCAAGACAGCTGCCTTTATTTCTGACCTTTTTTTTTTTTTTTTTTTCCCCTCCAAAGGTTCATCTCTACTTTCTACAACCTCTTCCTCTCTGCATAAGACCTCACCAACTGTCTCAGGTAGAAATTTGACAATCTAGTGTTAACTTTATTACATTCCTTTCTCTTTTTCAGCTTAACATCCTGCATGCTGCTTCCAAACATATACAGCTATGTCACGGAAACTGAGATCTCTAACTTATTCTGCATTTTGCAGTGTCTTTCTTTTTTGAGAGCTTAAATCATACTTTGCATTGAACCATAAAAATGCAGGTGAAGATCCAAATCTCTAAGGGCAGAACTGAAACTAGCAATAAATTCAAGTGTCAAACACTCAGAAGTGTTTTTAGTCAAAATTTTCCAGAAGACTGAGGTGCTCAGCTCCCTTCCTTCTACAGGGCCTGGTTTATGGTGCAAATCAAGCAGATACTAAATGCTAATTTAAACTCCTACTTTGAACTCATCCCTTCCTGAAAATCTGTTGTAAATAACGTATGCATGCTTTACAATTCAATCTCACAAATGCAGGCAACACTGATCACTAGTTTGATTTCTTCTGCACTGTGGTTATGAATAAAGAAATTAGAACATTTTATGATATTCTACAGAGAAAAATAATCTTCCCAAGATACAGAATACATTAAGTTTGGCTTGACAACATGATTTGGGGAGGACAGAGTTGTTGCTTATTTGCCTCTTTATGGCCCATTTAAAAGCTGCATTGGTGAAGAGAGTTCATTTTTAAGTGCTTATTGGAGAGAGCAGGTAAGGTTATGACCAGCAAATTATTGACTTTACAAATAAGACACAGACACCATTTGTGTAAAGGCTGCAGTTGGAACCAGCATAGCTTAAAAGAAAATTGTAGGCAGAAGAGTAAAATGAACAAAAAGGAACCTGAATAACCTTCCTCTTACCCAATTTTTTTTATCCCTTTTGGCTGGATTGCATTCTTGTTAAACTTCTTTAGTACACAGACTTACTGCCTGACACTTTCCATTACAAGACCTTCTTTTCATCTGCTTATTTTGCTAGTGTTCTAGTTACCTGAAGTTTTTATGACGATCAAGACTCACCTCATTCTGGAAAAAATTCAGATGAAATGACAAAGTCATCTGAAAAACACTTGTGGGCTTTTGGGGTTTAAAAAAAAAAAGTGGGTAACAAAACGCCACACCTTTGAATTTTAGCAGGATTGTGTCCTATCTTAGGAATACTGGGGGAGGGGAGGAAAAAAAAAACCCACACACATCTCGTCACATTAGAATCTTTGCAAATACAGACCAATGTAAGGGATCGCCTTTTTGGGAGGGATACAGTGAACTGGGATTGCTGCAAGACAGTAGAGCGGAGTAATGCAAAAATTAGGAGTCTCAAGAGGGAAACTGGGACAGGAACAGAAGAAAAGGACAGGCAGTAGACAGAAATCGAAGCGTCTTTGAAGGCAGACCAATGCTGTAACTCCATGATCATTTAAGCCAACCTAAGTTGGGGTAGCTATGGCTCTGCCCCTTTCCCTAACTGTACAGTTTCTATTTCCCTTACATTGGACCTGCAGTCAGCCAAGCAAAACCAAAACCCCATCAGTCTTTGAAAGTGTTCATGTACTACATTAACGTTAGAACGGGCACAAGGGAGAGAAGAGGAATGCATGGCTGCGAGGGCAAGAACACAAGAACCTCCATTCGGATTGATTGAAGTGGCTATACAAGGGCACTCAGCATGAGGGTTGCTCAAAGTGAAACTAGAGCTGGTCTCTCTGCTAAAGCAAAGAAGCCTGAGTACTATAGGTTGTTACCAAGTAAAGTTGCATAAAATGAGGCAGGACTGGAGAAAACCAGAGAACTAGGAGAACCGGTAGAAAACAGAGTAGGAAAGGGATCCAGAAGTTTTTACTCTTACTATTCACAATTTTATGCTCTCTCACTTACTATCCCCCTACTAGAGAATGGAATACAGCATCTTCCAATCTTGTTATTCCTCTGTCAGGAATTATCCTTCAAACAGCACAAAGTGCCCATCTTCTTCCAATGCTGTTTCCCAGAGTACAACCCGCTATGGCTATTCTCTGCTAGCTTAAAGGCGATATGTACAACATCAACTGCTGCTAGGAAACCCTTTGTATTTGGATATAACGCAATTTTATCTTTTTATCTTTTAAACTCTGTGATATGATATGCAGCATTCAGTATACTTTAAAAAAAAAAAAAGCCTATTATCAGGAGTGGGAAGCACTAAGAAGTCACACCAAAATCCAAGTTGCTTAACAAACCTCACCCTTTTTGTATACCTTATAATACCGTGTACAGTCAGGTGCCTATAGTTTCCATGAGGCCACTGCTGCATTCAGACAAAACCAAGGACCTCTAGGGATGAATGTACAGCTGTGTAGAAACAGAGACAGTTGTTTTAAGGATACCAGACTCATTTGTCATAGAACTGAAAGGGACAAGGGGTGGTCTTGTGCTAGCTGAACGTGGCAAAGGAGAAACAGGTTCTAGTCTTGCCACTGCCATTAAGTTTTGTGTGCTATTGAGCCACATAAACCCAGATTTTCATGGGACTGGGAA